CTTCTATTTCCTTAGGAGTTATAGGGCTATTTAAATTATTTACTTGGTCTTGATTTAATTATATGATACCTATCCAGAAAAATTATCCATTTCTTTTACATTTTCCAATTTTGTGGAGTACAGGTTTTTGTAGTACATCTTAATGATTGTTTGGATTTCCTCAGTGTCTGTTGTTATGTCTCCCTTTTCATTTCTGATTTTGTTAATTTGGATGTTCTCTCTCTGCCTTTTGATTAGTTTGGATAAGGTGTGTCTATCTTTTGATGTTCTCAAAGAACCAGCTCTTCGTTTCATTGATTCTTTGTCTTGTTTCCTTTGTTTCTATTTTATTGATTTCAGCCCTCAATTTGTTTATTTCCTCTCATCTACCCCTTCTGGATGAGTCTGCTTCTTTTTGTTCTAGAGCTTTCAGATGTGCTGTTAAGTTGCTAGTGTGAGATTTCTCTACTTTATGTAGGTACTTAGTGCTATGAACATTCCACTGCTTCATAGTGTCCCATATGTTTGGGTATGTTGCGCCTTCATTTTCGTTGAATTTTAGAAAGTCTTTGATTTCTGTCTTTATTTCTTCCTTGACTCAGGGGTGGTTCAATTCAGCACTGTTCAATTTCCATGAGATTGTAGGTTTTCTGCAATTAGTGTTGTTAAATTCCATGGTGATCAGAATAGATACAGGGACTTATTCCTTTTTTTTATTTGTTGAGGTTTTCTTTGTTACAGAGTATGTGGTCAATTTTAGAGAAGATTTCATGAGGTGCTGAGTAGAAAGTAGTTATTTTGTGTTTGGGTGAAATGTTCTGTAGATTTCTATTAAGTTGAGGTTTTTATTCTAGTACTTTCTATAAGGCTGGGTTTGTGGCTACGTATTGTTTAAATCTGTTTTTGCCCTGGAATATCTTGTTTTCTCCATCGATGGTGAAAGAAACCTTTGCTAGGTATAGTATTCTGGGCTTGCATCCATGGTCTCTTAGTGTCTGTAGCACATCTGTTCAGGCCCTTCTGGCTTTCATGGTTTCTAATGGGAAGTCAGGTGTAATTCTGATAGGTCAGCCTTTATATGTTACTTGGTCTTTTTCCTTTGCAGCTCTTAATATTCTTTCTTTATTCTGTATGTTTCACATTTTTATTATTATATGGTGAGGGGAGTTTTTTGTCCAGTCTATTTGGTGTTCTGTAAGCTTCTTGTACCTTCATAGGATATCCTTCTTTAGGTTGGAAAAGTTTTCTTCTATGATTTTGTTGAATATATTTTCTGTACCTTTGAGCTGGGGTGGTTCTTCTTCTTCTTCTTCTTCTTCTTCTTCTTCTTCTTCTTCTTCTTCTTCT